AGAAACCTGGGGAAGCCCAGAAAGAAAGAAAAGTATGAAAACAGGGCAATTCTGCTTCAGGAAAGGCAAAGAAATGGCAGCACAGCCCACTCAGACACTGAAAATAACTGCCCAGCCACTGACCTGCCCATCGGGAAGCCAGGAGGGGAAGGGAGGGAAAGGGAGAGAGATCGGACACAGAGCAGTGAGAGGTGTTGGAGCTCCGCAACAACGGAGTGTCACCTTGGCCAACCTCCACTCACCCTCCCACAAAGGGAATGGTGGTGTAGAGGGAAGTTTAAAGATGGTCCATGTACTTCCACATCCCTGTCAAAACTTCAGCAGATCTGGCATATCTTCCTAGGAAATCACCTTCCTCCTTTCACAAAAGTGTGAAAAAAAACAAAACAAAAAAAGAAAAATGGCATCATCATCGCCGTTCAGTGGAATTTTTAGCTTCGGCCCCCCCTTTTCCCCTTTACCTTCCTCTTTTCACAAAAGCGTGAAAAAACAACAACAACAAAAGAAAAATGGCATCATCATCGCCGTTCAGTGGAATTTTTAGCTTCGGCCCCCCCTTTTCCCCTTTTTTCAAAGGAACACTGAATATGAATTCCACTGCAAGGCTCGATCTTTCCTTATGAAAAGTAAAAGATTTACCCCAGCTAAGGCTACTTAGCAGCTGCTAAACACAAATTTTGTCATTTTAGGAAAGGCAGAAATTCTCAATCCCATTCAGAAATTATTGAAATTATCTTCTGGGAAACTTAAAGATTTATTTGTCACAGAAGGTGGCCAAAGCTTGAGTTATAATACCTCACTGAAGAATGACCTGACATGGTTAAAAACTGTTACGGAACTTTTTAATTGGGAACTCCTAAACCGGAACTGCATTCTCCCTGCCACACACATTTGGGTTTTTTAAATTGTTGTATTTCAGGTAAGATACAATCCTAACCCTAGAGAGTCTATAAGCTAGCAAAGTATTTCTACAAACGCTAATAGAAGCTCAGGATAACAGCCATGGCGAGTTTAAAAGCTAGTTACTCTTTTCTATATTTTTCCTTTGTTATAAATGGGAGAGGAAAAAACCCATAGCCCGAAGACTTCTTCCACTTGCATTTACAAAGGATCCTATTTCTACAAAAGCATAACTAAACAGATTAGAACGCCTGCACAAGAGCATACTGTTATTACGCTGCATATTAGCATGCAAATTGAGATGATGGCTCTCAAAAACGACGTGCTGGCCTATTTGTTTAGATCAATACCAGCAATCCATGGAGTTTCTTTGATGCCTTGAGAAAGAAGATATGTTATTTTTTACTTGTAAATGTTATTTTGCCAGTAAAACAAGCTCAGTTCAGAGCTTAATTGCCTTTTGCTTATACCAGAGTTGAAAAGACAACCAAGGAAATTGCAGGATTTTTCTTTTTTTAAAGCTGTCAACTGAGGTGTTCAAGTGCCTCTGAAGCAGCTCAGCAGTGATTGCCAGAGTAATTAAGGAGAATATTTACAAGCTGTGAAGACGACAAACATCTGCTTGGGAGGAAGGGTTAGGGAAGAAAAGCACTACACTCTGACAAGGTGCAATCCAGAGAAAACTAACTTGCAATGGAAATCGACAACTGACTCCAGAACAAACTACTAAATGGATACTATGAGGAAAAGCGTTCAAGAGAGTAACAGCAAAGACACAAACTTAAAAGGATGGATCTTTATGGACCGAGCCCGGTTTTATCAGATAAACACTGTTTACAGGCTTGTGGTGGAAGAGGAGAACTTCAGGGAATGATTTAATGGGATTTTCACTGCAATCATACCTAGTATCACAAACTCACTGACCAGCTGAGGATGGAAGGGACCTCTGGAGATCTGCTCAAAGCAGGGTCAGGCCACTGTCCAGCTGGGTTCTGGATATCTCCATGGGTGGAGACGCCACAGCCTGGGCAATCTGATGCAGACTTTGACCACCCTCACAATAAAAAAAATTTTTTTTCTTATGTTTAAACAGAATTTCCTGTATTTCCATTTGTGCCCACTGCCTCTTGTCCCCCCACTGGATACCATTGAGAAGAGGGTCATTATATCTTCTTCACTGCTTCCTACCAGTTGTTCACACACAGCGATAAGGTACCCCCTGAGGCTTCTCCTCTCGAGGCTAAGCAGTCCCACCTCTCCCAGCCTGTCCTCTTACCACACATGCTGCAGTCCCTTAATCATCTTTGCAGCCCTTTGCTGGATTCACTCCAGTAAGTCCACATCTCCCTTGTACTGGAGACCCCAGCACTGGACACAGTATTCCAGATTTGGTCTCACCAGTGCTGAACAGAGGGGAATAAACATCTCCCTCGACCTGCTAGCTATGCTCTTCCTAACGCAGCCCAGGACACTGTTGGTCTTTTTTGCTTCAAGATGGCATTGCTGGCTCATGTGCAACTTGGTGTCCACCAGGACCCCCAGGTCCTTTTCTGTCAAATTGTTTTCCAGTCAGTGTGTACTGGTACATGGGGTTATTCCTACCCAGGTGCTGGACTCTGCACTTCCCAGTGCCGAACTTTGTAAGGGTCATGAAGAAAGAAGCAAAGTTATTTTTAAGACCTCACATTCTCATGAATCTGCACTGGGAGAATCATTTTGTATGTGTCAGGATACACGACTACAGCCTTGATCTCCACGACCTGCTAAGCCTGCAGTGGCTTGCCACATACCTCTGTACATCAGCTGCAACGATTTCTCATCAGCACTTTTAAGCAGAGGAACTGCTGCCTGACTCTGGAGCAAAAATACCACTTGCAACAGAATAAAAGTTTGAGGAAAAAGAAACTGTAGTAACTTAGAGGGCAAGAACACTGGCACAAATTATCAATGGTAACATAACACAGCAAGCAGCGAGGGAGGTAGTTGTAGAAGAGGCTGATAAGAATTAGAAACATAATTTTCATGTCATAAACATCAAAAGTTACCCTATCAAGTTATCTGAATGCTAAACCTATGTGTAACAAGACTCCTATGTGTAACACAGGATTAATTCTGTGGACTGGTTGGCAGAAAAGATGAATGAGGAGAACCTCTTGCTGCTTGGAAGAAAGTGTCGGCAGGCAAAAGGGACACCTATGCAACTGCTCCCGATGAAGATGGTTGGACTGGGATCTGCACGTTATAGAGCAGCCATATCGCACAATGAGGGCAACAGGAGCTGTCGTGTAATATAAGAATGCATGCACTAATCTGTAAGGATGATATTATTCTGGGTATCTAGCAATTTCCTCCAGGCACTTTCAAGCAGAAAAAAGATCAGACTATGGATTATCTCCAGATCTTTCCACCATTTCACTTCTGTCCAAACATTACGTTTAAACATTTTACCCTTGCCTAAGCTCTGTGCAATTTTATTCTGACCTGTAATTCATATATACGATTTTACTGCCTGTTTCCTTACAGTGTTTATTCCACCCTATGTGCTTTTCTTCAAGTACAAGGATAAAGGAAGAAGAAGAAAGCAAGAAGTAACTGCCACCCTTCTATTACTGCAACCTGTCACATAAGGATGGGAAAGACACTGCAGTACTGTAGTTTACCTAATATTTTAATAGATCAACCTCCTCTCCTTTTTGGTAAGTTTTCCCGTAAGATTTGTCTCCATGAAACTGCTCCCCTCCAAGTTATTTTTTTTTAAAAAATCACTTTTTTAATGAGACCCACAGTTACCATGAAATGTCTGTAAACATACAGAGCAATTGGGAAATTCACCTTCTCTTCTGTTGCAATAAAGAAAAGGCCCATTGAGCATTGCAATACAAATCTTGTTCACTGCTGAAGAAATGCTGATTAAATTCACAACCAGATAAGCTTTGAAAGAGGATCAAGAGAAGACAATGAAACAAATGCCAAAACCCAGCATATCAAAATCACAACAATACTTAACCATGTCACAGGCATAAATGTCAAGAAACGGAGAAAGGAATATAAATCATGAAAACTTACCTAGAGACAGACTGCCAAGCTATGCCTGGCAACAACTAGGAAAAACAAGAGTCTAGAGTTTATCTACCTGTGTCTTAAAAGGAAGAAGTCTATACACCTTGAAATGACTATAAATGCATTAAGCGGAAGAAGAGGTAACAACTAGTAGGGCAGGGGTTTTGAAGGATGATAACATGATTTTACTCTGTGGGGAAGGAAACAAAGGATGAAGTTTAGTTTATGGGTGAAGAAAAAAAAAAGTTTTTTTTTCCTTCCTAGAATTCACATACAAAACATCATACACATGTACTGTGTGCAACTGCACAAGAAATTAAACACACCACCTTTTTGGCCACTAAAAACAACAAATAGTTTCAATACACTTGCATAACCTTCCTCAGGAAACCTTTTTGCTTCCCTGAACTCCATAAAGCCCTCTCAGCTAGATGACTCTTTCATCACTCTTTCTCACTGTTAATCTTCAGTTTTCCATCCCTTATTGCTCCTTAAATACTTTCCATAGGCAGTAAATCCAGGAAATTTTAGCTAAGAAAAGGTCTGGAAGTGAGAGGAGCTCAGCATTTACCTCTCATAGCGAGCAGTGAAGTGACTCATGTGCTGAAATGCTGCTCAAGACAGACATTTGAATGGGTACCAAAATCTTTGGGAGTTAGCACTCGAAAGCATATGTTAAAGCATAGTTCAAGTGAAGTTTTTAAAAAGTTTCAGAATAAGTATGAACATTTAGAGAATACTGTTTTTCTGCTGCTTGTATTTTCATCCTCCACTACTAGCCATGCTAGAACTCTAAAATTAATCTTGTTTTGCATTGTTGCTGACGATTTCATGAAGAATCAGTCTTCATCCCAGAAGCGCAGGATACTTTTCACTCCAACAAAAGTCTGGGCTTAAACGTTCTGGGACTAAGATCGTTGAAGTGGGAATGATGAAGGCATTAAGTGCTTTGTTATGTGAGAAAGGACAGCATATTTACAAATGTTGAACAGAAACCCTGCTCTGACCACATATTTCAAATAAGAAAATACTCCATTTACCATTTTCAACATGGGCAAGTCTGTGCATGAGAGGCAGCCACACAAGGCACTGAGGAGGTGGATCAGCCATCAAAGTGTCTAAAAACATGTTTAGCATGATCTTTTTCTGCAAAGAAAAGAGAAATAGAATTTAATTATAAGAAAAATTTCGATTTTATATACCAAAAACTACTTCAGTGTTAAAATCTCTCTCTGACTCAACTTCTGTCTACCAGGAACATTACATATGCTATAAGGAGATAAAAATCACAACTTCTTTGCTCAGGGAGTTTCAGTCTATGTTAGGCAAACAGTAACACCACAAAGAAGGAATTAGACATGATATAATCATACAAAAATAAATGATAAACAGATGAACAGAAAACCCCAAGAAATAGAGGACTAGTCAGTCAGCATTGGTTCCTGAGTTGCAGTTGAAGATTCTTATTTTGAAGAGGAATTTGACAAATGTGAGTGGAGGTTATTTAACAATGTAGAAAACGGAATTTCAAATGTACAGACAGCACTGAAAAAAGTAGACACACATAACAGTAATTACAACTAATATTCATACACGATCCATACAGTAAATGATTTTTTTTTAAAGGCAAAATAAGAAAAAGAATAGGCAAGGGGGGAACTAGGCTAAGATTTTAAATGACTGTCAATAAAAATGAAATTGAAATCATTAGGAGAAGGAAGTCAGGCATGTTAAGAGTAATATTTTCTAAGGCTTCAAATTCAAGTGAGCAAGAGAAAATATCTGCTGCAAATACAAACAGATGGAGATAACTGGTAAGAAAAACAGCTAAGAATATTACGGATACAAAGAAAGAATATGTTGGCTTTTGCATACAATAAGCTAGATGCTTAAGAACTTCCCACAGGCAGACGGCCAGCTGGTCAGATGGCACGTTTTTCTCACCTTAGCATATGGCAGCGTTACTCCAAAAAGCATCCGCAACAGGGAGGCTAAGCAGAGCTAGAGAAAAAGCCAGGCTGGTTTTCTAGGAGCTGTGAACTAAACGTAGCTTTCACTTGCAACTATCATGCCAAAAATTAAGGTGTTTTTTTGTTTGGGGTTTCTTTTGGTTGTAGGTTGTTTGGGTTTTTTCTGTTTTGTTTTCTTGTTTGTTTGTTTTTTTTTAATTAAAGAGAAGGTTTATATTTAAAGAATCAATATTTTCATGATTAGTGGCAAATACATACATCTAATACCTCTGCAGCTAACTACCCTGGAGAGATAATATGGAATTACAATTATCTATCCCAGTTACCATTAAGGAAAATTCTAAAAAATATTTAACCTGACTTCTTCCAATTTTTATAAGTTATCCTTGTTCCATTCTATCTGCTTAGTAAATGAAAAGCTTTTCCTGAACCGTTAGCTGCTGCTACAAGAGAGTCCAAGAATGTCCTTTGCCAGATACAACCTTAGACACACTACCTGGACAAGCACGAACGCCTGGATCCTGCCTGGCGATCCTAGCCTTCCCTCCTCCTTGAAGCCAGGTCATCCTTTGGGCTATTAGTGACCACACACAGTCAACCTGCCTTCCTCTCTCCTTGGAGGAAGACATCCAAAATCTTTTCACAAACACACATCTTGCTAAGGCCATGAAACACACTAAATATGCTGAACCAAGCCTTCTGAGAGATGGAGAACCACCGTTTTTAACTGGGAATTAACCGATTGTGGTATGTGACATCTGAGACCAGAAAGGGCTGCTTGTGTAATCAGGAACCATTGTGCTAATGATGTTAAATGGCAGCATCGTTTGTAATTGATATGCAGATTGTATGTTTCAAATCTGAGCGTAATCACCTAGTTGCTTACTTGTATAGGTATCGTACAACTTTATAAAAATGCCTCCAAGGTTCCGAATTACACCTTGGCTCTCATCTCTCATACTGTTTCCTATACAAGAGTATGAAGGTTACTCCAAATAATAAATACTGCTCACAGACAGACAAGTTTTCTGGAGACAAGACTCAGGATCCATCAGACATCACACCCATTTTCAAAAAGTGTAAAAAGGAGGACCCTAGGAACTACTGGCCTGCCTCACCTCCATGCCTGTTAAGATCATGGAGCAGATCCTCCTGGAAAACATGTGGAAACATATGGAAAATAGGGAGGTGATTATTCTGCAAGGCCTTTGATATGGGCCACCACAACATTCTGGCCACTAAATTGGAGAGATATGAGTTTGATGGATGGACTGTTAGATGGATAGGGAATTGGCTGGGTGGCCATGTCCAAAGAGTTAGAGTCAATGGCTCAACGCTCAAGTAGAAACCAGTAACAAGTGGTGTCCCTCAAGGGTCTGTACTGGGACCATAACTATTTACTATCTTCATCAATGACACAGACAGTGAGATTGAGCACACCCTTAGCAAGTTTGCAGACGACAGCAAGCTGAGTAGTGCAGTTGACGTGTCAGAGGGAAGGGACACCATCCAGAGGGACCTTGACAGGCCGTAGGAGGGGGCCAGTATGAACATTCATGAAGTTCAACAAAGTCAAGTGCAAGGTCCTGCACCTAGGCCAGGGCAATCGCCAATAGGGGACAGGCTGGTGGACGAAGGGATTGAGAGCAGCCCTGCGGTGAAGGACTTGGGGGTACTGGTGGACAAAAAAATTGGACATGACCCAGCAATGAGCACTCGCAGCCAACCGTATCCTGGGTTGCATCAAAAGAAGCGTGGCCAGCAGGTGAAGGGATGGGGATATTCCTCCTCCACTCTCCTGAGACCCCACCTGGAATACAGCGTCCAGCTTTGGAGCCCAGTGTACAAGAAAGACAGGGACCTGTTGGAGTGGGTCCAGAGGAGGGCTACAACAATTGTCAGAGGGCTGAAACACCTCTCTTATCGAGAAAGTTGGGGTTGTTCAGCCTGGAGAAGAGAAGGCTCCAGGGAGACCTTACTGTAGCCTTTCAATATATAAAGGGGGCTTATAAAAAAAGACAGAGAAAGACTTTTTACCAGGGCCTGCAGCGACAGAACAAGGGGCAATGGTTTGTAACTGAAAGAGTACAGGTTTAGATTGGACATGAGGAAGAAATTTTTTTATGATGAGGGTGGTGAGGCAGTGGCAGAGGGTGCCCGGAAAAGCTGTGGCTGCCCCATCCCTAGAAGTGTTCAAGGCCAGGTTGGATGGGGCCCTGAGCAAACTGGTGTGGTGGGAGGGGTCCCTGCCCATGGCAGGGGGTTGGAACTGGGTGGGCTTTAAGGTCCCTTCCAACCCATGATTGTATGACACTCTGCTTAGACAGTGATACATGATATGCACAGTGGCAGAACCACCTAAACCTAGCAGGAGAGCTTCTTTCTGCTATAGACAAGGATGTTTCAAAGAAAAAAAAAACACGGGTTCCCTTTAAGCAGTGAGAACCTTATGAGTCGCCAAAGCCATGTACGGAGCGCTGCAACTCCCCTGTGCTGCACAAGGGGGCAGCAGGGACACAGGCTGGGGGCGGGGTCTCCATCACGCACCCAGGATTCTTAGCAGGCCACTGACACACGAATCACCCAGCATTCTCACGGCGACGTCTTGTCTGTCCGGGCACAGGCAGTCTCAGTAACGGCTCAGTTGACAGGAAAGCAAACAGCAGTCTCCTCCTGGAAACGGTGAATGTGTCAGAGAAGGAGCCTAGGTAACGCCCTTTCTTGCAGCTGGTCTAACGGTTCCTACTGGGCTCAGAACCCAACCATGGTGCAAACACAAAAATATCACTCAGTCACTGCTTGTGACACAACCACCACCAAATAACCTGCCAGCAGGTTCCAAACTCCAAGAACATAAACTGAAAATCAGTAAATGTGAAAGCACAGCCAGTCATGACGGTCAAATGATCCCCAGGAGAACAAAGACAATTCTGCAGAGATGCTCTCTGTAATCACCTGCTTACTCTCTGTTCTATTTTAATAATTGTTTTTACCAATTGCTGTTCGCATACCTACTTGTCTTAATAGCTCTGTAGTCTCAGACCTTCTTGCGGGTGGGTGCACTGGCAGGTTATAGCAATGCTATTCTTACATATAAAAGAATGGCATAGGCTTGCTTCAACAGCAAAAACTCCGCCAGTCTTACTGTTACATGGCCAACGTGCTTGTTTCAACAAGATGTTAATGCATATATTTCCCCACAAAATACTGGCACAAAACCACATCCCCCGAGCCCACACAAAGGCAAGCAATTTTGAACTCTGCAGTGATCAAAGGACATTATACTGATCTAAGCAGCTGTGTGTTAGACCCCACCTGTACCTCTGTCCTGCACCTCCTGCTTAAACTGCAACTCTATCAGAGCATCCTTACACCATCCTTTACACACAAGACCATCCTGTCCTTAATAAGTACATCTTTATTACTCGTTTTAACAAGACTGTACATCCTGACCATCCTTCTGACACTGTTAAGCTCGTGCAGTCAGTTCAGCTATCAGCCATACCATCCACTAAGCCTGAGTCAGCCAAGGCTTTAGCAAAGCTTTCATGCAAGGTATGCACAGATCAACGCCTATCCAGGCCTCCTTGTAGAGTTTGTGCTGCTGAGTTTCAACACAATAATGTGCAGCTTGACTGTACAGAAGTCAAGCTCCTGGCCCCCAAGTCTCTGAAGTAAACTTCTGAGCCCAGTAGAAACACAACAATTACACTACTCTGTAAATGAGATATAAGTGGACACACCTCTGCAATGACAGGACAGGCTGTGCCGTAAACACAGAAAGATTCTAAGGCAGGGCATGTCATGGTGATACAACATCACTGACAAGTAGATGGATTGTAGCAAAGTGAACAGGAGTCTTAAGAAAAGTACGACACGATAGCTTACATCTGCAGAAGCCCCCACTTGACCTAGAACAGTAAATTATTACCGGAAGCTCTTTGTACATCTGGAAGCCATCACAAAGAATGCAGCTTTTGTCAAAAGCATCCTAATAAACTCCATTTTGCATGGGCAACAGGTTTGAATTCTTTCATCTGTGACCCAAGAAATGGAACAAAGTTGTGGAGTGCATACAATCACTGACACTTCTTTGCCTGTCTGCCCTTTCACCACTCAGATAGCAGTAAATTATTAGCCTTTGGCACCTGAAAGAAGTGGCTTCCAGAACCAGGACCTCCATGGGTAGCCAGGAACCACAGCTGGCCAGGAAGGATTTATCTTTTGGTAGTTTAAGTAACACTAGGGAATGTTCCTGGCACTAAAACTCAATCGTGCACGCTTTTATGTTATCAAACCTGTGCCAGGTTTAACCACTCACTCTCCCAAATGATTCCAGCATCCAGATCAGGTGTTAATATCAGCTAGGAATAATTTTCAATAAACAGTTTCCATGTAACCACCCTGCTTGAGGGAATGAGAGAGTTTAATAGCATGGATGTGGTTAGACCATTCCGGTTGGTCTTAGGACCACAGAACAGCTTAAGGCACTGTTTAGTTAACTACAACAGACGTAGCTTATATGCCCCTCATGTAAATGCCAAAGTCTGAAACCCCACAGCTTTACCAATGCCACCTGGAGAGAATTTCAGCAAAATGATAGGCTGCAAAAGGAGAATATCGCAGAAATACCTCTGGGAAGCTTATTTTCAGATCTGTGAGGCATAAGAAAATGGAATTAAATCTAAAAACAGATTATCCATCTACTTCCCAGGACCTGTTTGAGTCAATGTTTTCAAATAAATTAAAGAACTGTCTTGGGGTACAATGTATATCTGGATTAATTAAAAAAACACTACCACTCTACAAGCCTGGCCTTACACTAGGGATTTTGTTTTGCTGAATAAAATTAGAGCAAAGGAATTTCTACAAGTGAATCAATATGAAGAACTAGCTTTATTGTTCATGGGAGCCAAAGTTAAAGAGTGTTAAGACATGCCGCAGGCAAGCCATGTGCAAATCAGAATCACAGAACCGTTTAGGTTGGAAAAGGCCCTTAAGATCACGGAGCCCAACCGTTAACCTGGCACTGCCAAGCCCACCACTAACCCATGGCCCTCAGCACCACATCTACACGGCTTTTAAATACCTCCAGGGATGGGGACTCCACCACGTCCCTGGGCAGCCTGTGCCAGTGCCTGACCACCCTCTGGGTGAAGAAATTCTTCCCAATATCCAATCTAAACCTCCCCTGGCACACCTTGAGACCTTTGCTCTTGTCCTATCACTTGTTACGTGGGAGAAGGGACCAACCCCCACCTGGCTACCCCCTCTTTTCAGGTCGTTGTAGAGAGCGATCAGGTCTCCCCTCAGCCTCCTCTTCTCCAGACCAAACCCCCCCAGCTCCCTCAGCCGCTCCAGACCCTTCACCACCTTCGTTGCCCTTCTCTGCACTCGCTCCAGCACCTCAAGGTCTTTCTTGTGGTGAGGGGCCCAGAACTGGACAGAGCACTCGAGGTGCGGCCTCACCAGTGCCGAGTACAGGGGGACAATCACTGCCCTGGTCCTGCTGGCCACGCTGTTTCTGACACAGGTCAGGATGCCACTGGCCTTCTTGGCCACCTGGGCACACTGCTGGCCCGTATTCATGGGCAGTTACTATACCTCACCTGGCTATCACGGCAAGATTTGCATCTCTTTATGGGTAAAAGAGAAATAGTCACTTCCAGAGTGTAGGCTTCCAAACAAAAACCCCCATCCCCATTCCCTTTGCAGACAACGGAAAGAGCATGTAAAGCTTAGAATCTGATGTCTGACTTCTATAGCTCCATAGCAAGGCTGCAGTTTTACATTCGAGAGCAGGGCCACTTACATGAAACTTGATTTCATCGGACCAGTTTCCCTATGTGCATAAGCGGCTTGCACTGACCTGACAGAAAGGGTGGCATGTCCTCAGGAACAAGCGTGGCCCACAAATGCCTCAGCCAGTATGGAAACAGTAAAAAAGTATTTACTAATTACCCTATTAGTAAAACAAAACTGTGTCCCCAGTAACTCACAGATGAGCTGGAGCTCTCAATTCCTAAATCAAAGGCTGTTTCCTACTGTGTTGTATTTCAAATACACTAATTGCTAATTAACTTAAATTTAGCAAAAGTGACTATAAATTCTAAATCTAAATGCTTCAGAAATATTTCTTCCAGAACATAATCATGACCAGAGTCTAAACATTTAATTTTAGGCCTAAGATTATCAAGGTTCAGGTTTATAGTTGATTTAAGGATTATTTATACTATTTACATTATCTCAAATTAGAAACAAATCCTTGGAACAATGAAATTACAACTAAAATGCATAAAGAAATAAAAAGCTCTTTTAAGATCATTACTACATCTACTCCAAATGTTACATGTAATGGAAATGTTTTTTCCAAAACAGCTATACCAATAAGCACAACAGGGAAATTGATTTAAAAATAAACTATGTGTACACAATGTCTTTATTTCGTACAGACCCAACCAAACCTGCAAGTAATTTGTTGAAACTAATACTCCTAACACACTGAGAAAGCCTAAAAAAACCCCAAACATCAAGGGAAAGATAATAAAACCCGCTGCGTTTCATGTTTCAGAAAAGAAATAGGTCATCCTTGCTGTTCTTCTGATAGGCAACAGAAGCATTCCTTCGAGGAGGGGGAACAAACTAAAATTGTGCACAATCCTTTAATCGTCTAAAATCCAGACTTACTATTTTAAATTATTCAGACTGTCTTCTTAAAATTGCTTAGGTTCTGTAGTGTACATTACCAAATCCCCTTCCTCCAAACCCCATACAAACCACAACCAACGCAGTCGGTGGACTTTAGAAGAAAGCACTGTATTAACAAGCAATACAAAAATCCTGGTTTGTTAACTCTTACTTGTTGTGGGAAACAGGTCCGTACAGAATGCTCTGTGTATCCAAAGGAAGGCCCCTCAAACACAGCTGTTGGAAGTTTTAGAACTTCTTTCAAAAACTGATCAAACTTTGTAAATATCATTAGTCCATTTGAATCTGATATTTGAGAGAAAATATCTGTAAGAAAATATAATAAAACCCTACAGTAAATACATGCTTACTATAGAAAAGAAAAAAAATTACTTCAATCCATTTAAACCCCAAGAAATTTTTTTGTTTTATTCTGAACAATTTCTTATCACTTGCTATCAAGATAAAATTTATAAATTAACATATTTAAACATGCTATAATATAAATCTTCCCGTTTCCTCCATCCCATCTCACCCAGTCTTGAGAAAAGATTCTGCCAGTGCATTAACTGTGACAGCAAGAAAGCAGAAGCTAGGAGGCATTACAAAAGTTACAGAACAGTACAACTTCAAGTTTACGTCTTCAAAATACAACTATATGAAATCCTCCAAGAAGTCTCCTAGAATTAAAAAATGTTGTAAGAATCACAAAGTCAAAACTGGCAAAACTCCTGGTAAATCCGGTGCACGTCAACGGCATGTTGAATTTAAGTAATGCAGCATTAGAAGAGAGCATCAGAAGTAAAGTAGCCAGAAACTGGGGTGCAATGACCTCCATCTCCAAGGCTAAAACACACAAGCCATGCAGCTGAGCGGATGGGGAAGAGGAAAGCCGATGGAATTTTATATCAGAGATGCTGCGCGCACTGAAGAGCTAGAATAGGAACTTTTGTCCTTACACAAGAAATATGTTTGTGATGGGACCAAGTATGCTTTTTTATCAGCTATGTGGGGCTAAATATATTTCTGAAACCAAAAAGAGGATCGAGCAAGATATTCAGCAATCTCAGGTACATATGGAAAAAGAAAGGTAGGGAGGGTGGTCCCAGAAGGCGGCAGGGAGGAGGGCACTTTTGCAGGTATTTGCAGTCCCATGCCTTGCTCCTAGCGATGAGCACGTGGACAGAAGGATGTCTCCTGGGTCTCCTGCCCTGGAGTCCCTCCACCCCCTTACTTCAGAGGGCCCAAATCCCCCTGTCCTCTGCTCCAGCCATTCCAGGTGAGCAATCCAAAGCTCCCAGCTCTCATGTCTCAGGAAAGGTAAAAAATACAGGAAAAGATGTGTAGATAGCATTGTAAGAAAACGATGCCGTATTTTATATTAGGACAGATGCATGCAGATAAAGCAGAACTGTCCTGGGATCAAAAATCTCTTTGGAAAAGACAAATCTCTCAAACAGCAAAACTGAGTCTGATATACTTGCAGAGCCAGATTACTCTCTAAAGGAAGATTTCTCTAATAAGAGCACTAATATTAGCAAGACCTAAAGTTTTCCAAGATGTGACAGATACCAGAATTCCTCACTAAACAGCCACTGAATTATCTATGAGGTTATTTAAAACACCATCAGTAATTAAACATCAAAAAGAATCTGTTGACAGAAACTAAGCTTAATTTAAGTGATCAAAACTAGGTCTGTAAAAAAAAAAACCCACTATTTCAGAAAGTAAACTAGAGAAATTATTCCAATCCCCTGAATGAATGAGCTCATAAAGAAACCTACAATATCTAAGTTAAGGGTGATAAAGCCCTCTGGAATTTGTATCACTGGCTAAATAGACAACCTTGAAGTGAAGGTCTGAAGCCCATGTTGAATGATCTTATAAGCCATATTAGGAATAGCAGGAGGAAAAAAAAAAAAAGGGGAAAAAAGAGAAATGAGAGTTGGGGGGAATACTGTATTTTAGAAAATTAAGCCAAGCAGAAAATTTAAATTTTACCTGAAAATTGAATGTAGCAAAGTCAGGATCAAAATGCACACAAATGAAAACTATGGAGACAAGTAAAACTAATTAGACAGCCAAACTTCCAGAATCCTAATCCATTCCAGATCAGAATCACTCCAGAACTGGCAGATGCACAAAAACTGAAGGTCGAGTAATAAATCTGTCAAGGTGGGACTGGTAGAACATGACTGGAACACGACAGTACTTGTATTTAAAAAAGGACAGAAGTCTTCTGGGTATATACAGTCTATTAATCTGAACTGAACAGTACGTAAGATTTAAACTATTTTAAAGAGAAAGTAATTAAAGCTATGGAAATAAATTGAAAATGAGATAAGATAGAACAGGCTATATCAAGGGTAAATAAAAAACCCCCAAACGCCACTAACCTATATCTTGCAGTCATAAAAAAGTGATTTTTATAGTCAAACTAAAGTTGATCTCATTTACACGGGGAACTTCCACATGGGAAATCACCAGTGAAATTGGAAAAGATAAAGATTAGTAGGATATAATTATGTAGTCATCTGCCCTTTTAAAGGGCAGTAAATTACCCCCAAAGAGAAAACCTCAAACAAAACAGAGGCTAACAATGTAATTTCTCAAGAGCTCACCTCAGGGTCACAATAGGCATATGCTAATGGTTTCTGATAACAAGGTATTACACTTTAATTCTCATAAAATTTCAGTTCAATCCTACTATGCTATAAACATTTTTTTTAAACCAGAGAGAATAAAAAAAATTTTGAACTACAAAAAACACTGCTCAGTCCCCAAAATACCAACATAAAATGGTACTTGTGCAACTCACTATTTCCTTTTTTCAAATGTTTGTAGTAAAACTTTTATACTAAGAACAGAACTCATAACATCATCTGTTAAACCAGTCCAACAGTTCCCTCGAGAGCCTCTTTTCAGTTGCTTTTAACTGCCAAAATTGACTGTTCTGTGTTTTGCAATCAAGGCATTTGCCTGATGCTTTGTACAGTTTCAGCTGAAGGCTCTACCATTTCTCCGATTAAGTTAAAAACAAAGCAACAAAAACCTGGCACTCTCATTTTCCAGGGTCTTGACCTTCGGTGTATCCTGTGTCTCTCAATTCCTATGAAGTTGTCAATTTTTATTGTACAAATTCATAAAATATTTGTTAAATACTAGGTCTAATATCAGTAAAAGCCAAGGAAATAAATTTCACAGATGAATTGGTTTGACTGTGCTTTTTCATTTGGGTGGTGGTGGAGGGGAGGAGGTGGGTGCATGCAGGTTTTTTGGCATTAATCCACAGTATATATTAAGGTCAAAAGGGAAATCCAAGGAAATACAGGTCAGTCAGCCCCACTTTGGTTCCCAGGAAAATCATGTAGCAAATCTTGGTGCACATTCCTGCGTACATGAAAGAAAAGGTGACTGGGATCCGTCAGTACAGATCTACCGAGGCTAAATTACACATGACCAGTTCGATCGTCGTCTGTGACAAGATGACTGAATTTGTAGGTATCATTCATCCCAACTGAAGCAAGGTTTTTTACTTATTATTTCCCCACAACATTCCAGTATCCCTCTGGGGATGTCACAGTCTGCATGGACAAACAACCAGATGGGCAAGTAGCTGGCCGGATGATCAGGCTTGGAGGGCAGCGGATAATGAGTCAAATTCTACGTGGAGGCCAATAGCAAGTGGACTACTGCTGGAAACTGTCCTGGGACATGTCCTGCTCAACATGTCTATCAATGATCTGGGAGAGGTGCCAGAGCGCATGTACTCTTGTTGAGTTTGCAGATGATGCCAAACAGGGTGGCCCAGGTGACATCCTTGAGGGCAAGGGCCGCCATCCCACAGGACCCAGACTGGCTGGAAGAATGGGCTAGCAGGAACTGTATGAAATTCAAAAGACAAATCCAAAGTCAGGCCCATGGGAAGGAAGAGATTCTAGCAGCAATCCAGGCTGGGGACTGCCTGGCTGGGGAGCTGCTCTGCTGGAAAGTTCTGTGCGGGTTTTGAGGTCACAAACTGAACATGATCCAGCAGCACGCTCTGGCAGCAAAGGTGGCCAGTAACATCCTGGGCTCTATGAACAGGAGCCCAGCTAGCAGAGGGAAGTGATTATCCTCCTCTATTCAGCACTTGTTAGACCTCTTCTAGGTACTGGGTCCAATTTTGGGACTCCTCCAGAATCAGAGAACTGTTGAGAATCACAGAGTATGAAAGACACAGAATATGAAAGATAAATTGAAGTGAGCTCTGTAGAGGACTACAAGGATGGTCAGCATGCTGGAGCACTTAACCTATGAGGACAGGCTGAGGAAACAGCAATTGTTCAGCCTGGAGAAGATAAGACACTGAGAAGACCCAATAACACCACCCAAACACCTACAAGGAGATGATGAAGATGCTTTTGGAGGAAAATTTAGCGATTAGAGTTTGAGTTAGGTATCATAAAGGTCATAAGTCTGTGGCAGATACTGGAGAGATCAGAGGATCTAAGAGCCTCCAAGAACCACCTACCAGATAGCTGAGCACCTAACGCCAGTCGCTGGAGAGATCCATGTTTTACAGGCTTGTGCATATATGTATATATTTATGCCACTAACAGGCTTTCATCCTCACCAGGCAGACGGGGGGAACAGAATCAGGTCACTGGTGCTGTTCCTGTTCATATGGGTACTTTCTGTGTTGACCTGTGTGCGCTTGTTCCTACTGGGAATGCACGCCTACCTTCACCACTGCGGAAATGGGGACATGACACTGCAGCAGCCTTACCTCTATCAGATCAGTAGACGTTGTAGCAACTCCTAACATCTGTTATAAACAAATGAGATGTAAGAAAGCCTATATAAAACCATGCACTGAGCTTGTTCAGTTTGAATAGATGTGATACCACAACAAACCGTGTATTATTACTGCTACTACTTGGTCCACTGATTGGGACCAAAACAAGTAACTCCCCTTTCATCCTCACTCCTCCAAAACCCAAAATACCCTCTCCCCAAAATCAAAACCCCACAATCAGGCTAACTCATCTAGAGCAGATTAACTTTCAGGACCTTTATTATGTGAAACGTGGTATTCAGCAGACATTATTGTATGAATATTTAGGGTGAACTTCAGTAAGCACTAAAGGCTTATCAGAGCCAGATGGCGAAAGGAAGCAAGGAGCTAGTGAGGCAAGGGAGCCAAGGAACACCACACAGGTAGAGCCAGTCGTTAGAGAAGCCAGCCCTTAAAATGAACAGGATCTTGATTTACTTGAAGTTCTGTTTGCAATGTACTCGCAGAAATGAAATGGATGGAAGCACTAATTACTTCACAATGACTGCAT